AAAAGAAACTACGCGATAAAATGGAAACGATACTGTGTCATGTGATATAGCGCGAAACATTTTCGTTGGCAAGCATTTTTAAAATAGAAGTAGAAAGAAATGAGGGGAAACGATTGCAAAAATTCGAACTCGATCGATAACAAGCTTAACAGATGTGTAAACCGGTTAGCGAGAGAACAAAACACGTCTGAAAATGCAACAAGATTTAATGAAATCCGCGAAATAAAATAGCGTGCCCGTCCATCACTGGGAACGATCAAATGATACGCGTATCAAATAGATGCTATAGATAATATATCACGAACGAAGCTGCAAGCTGTATCTTAAAATGTCGTGCGCCAACTTTATTTTCGTGTCTATCTCGTTCTCGTATAGTTTTTCGAAATTAACGGAGGCTTATGATCGGATGATAATGTGTTTCACTTTCAGGGAAAACTAGTTGAAAAATAATGTTACGCCATTGGTGGTCAAGATCGTTCAAGGTCCACAGGAGATCAGCAAGCTCATGCCATAGAAAGTCAAGATCATTTGATAGTTGCAGCGGTCATCGAGGTCGTGTTACTGATAGTCAAAGACATTCGAAAGTTGAAGGCATTCAAATCGTTGGCATTAAGGAGACAGGGTCATTTGAATATCATAAAAATCATTAAGATAGTCGTTATGGAAAAATCGATAGAGGATCGAAACTCTGGTTGAGAAGTCTGAGCAGAGAGACGAAAAACTAGCCTAAAAGTGAAAATATTTCGCAGATTTATCCGATGTGACATTACGATGTCGTTCTACACTCGGCATCAACAAAATTTGATTTTCTTTCCCATGAATCGGCCAGTGATTGGCTAGCCAAGCAAGTTGTACTCGCTATTTCCCACACCGTGTGTAATTTGATTCGCAACGTTCTATGCAGTCCATTGATAGTCTGTAGTTGAGGCCTCGCAGGCTTTCGACTTCTATACAATTCGATTCTCGTCGCGAGAGGCGATTCCCGGCGGCGTTTTGACGCCATTTCTGCCGGAACACCGCTTGACCCAAGACTCTCTTTCTCTCTCTCTCTCACACACACACACACACTCTCTTTCTCTCTCTTTCTCCCTCTCTCTCTGCTCGTGTGTGTTCCGGTAAACGTATCAAACAACGTTAAGGGAAAGTGAAATTTCCTGGCTACAGAAATACCCGTGAACAAGCCGAAAATTTCATATAACTGGAGACTTTGATCGTTTTAAAGTTTGTCCACCAATACTCGATAGAAATCGTTGTACAAGAAATACAAGATTGAAAGAAAATAAAACAGTTGCGTCCAATTTGTTTGTTTCCAAAAGAATTGCATTGCGTGGCTCAATGTACCTACGTTTCAATTAAACATTTCTTTATAGTCAAAATAAGAATATTCATCAATGAGAACGACTTCGGAATAACTATTTATTTTGAGTGGTATGAATGATTAAACATAGGATAGTGACTTATTGTCAGCAGCTTGCGAAGGTCGTTTCTATCTCAAGTGCACCGAACTAAATTTCGTTTTCGTCGACCTCACGATGTCAGTGACTTCTCGTCTAGAGACAGGGTTTCGACCTCACCGCGTGTATAGGCGAAGCGATGCCATGAACTAAAATTACAACCGCTCAGATATTTCATTGTCCTTCTATTAGTTAGCACTGAACGCCAAAAACGTCGTTCGAAAGAACATTGGCCACGTACGCACCGTATAAAAACAAATATGATCTCAGATATCGTATTTAACTATTTTAGCACTTGAATCCAGCTTCTTCTAAAATCACGTAATAATTCTTTAACATAAGAAATAAATATACATGTTTCTCGAATCCTGGAAAAATAAAAAAGCTGAAAATGAAAGAATTTCTTCTAAGAATTGCAGAAGTCAAAAATACGGAACAATGAAGCCTCGTATATAGATTTCCTTCCTTTCGAGGAGACCATAAATTTTCAAAAACTCCTAGAATCCTCAGATTCGCAAATTCACAAGTGCTACAATTTAAAAATCGAATTAACTTCATCAACCTGTTTCATCCCCTACAGATTCACCGTCGAACCGCTGTTAAAACTGCTAAAAAACAATTAGCCTGAGTACTACAGCATTTACATGGAAGCAAGGAGACAAAGATAAACGAAGAAAAATGATTCATAGGACCGCTATGATAGCGGTGTAAACCAGAAGAGACGATAAGTCTCTGGCAAAGAGGAGCGACTCGTTATCAGTTCCGCGTCCGTGGGGAATGGTCGGGTCCGATCTCCAGCGTCTGAAAACGAACTTGACCCGGTTAAAACCAGCTGCAGGAATATTTCGTGATGTACCTACCTGTCGGGCGCAGGTAGAGCTCGAGCGGCTGCTCGCGACGAAGGTGAGGCCCGGCTAAAGTGCCGACGAGTGGGAAGAGGGACGGCGACGTTACGTCGTAGGCGCGACTGAAACACGTTACTCCGCGAGAGACAAAGAGTGGGTCAAGTTCAGAGGAACGTGGATGGAGTAACAGTCGAGTGACTCTCGCTTTCATATTCCCCGTGGCGTACCGGCTGCTGTATGCACGTGTGCATGCGTGACCGCACACGCAGCGGATTTCGCCTGTGTGCTACGTGGTGAAACGAACCCTGAGAAGCGACTACCGAGCCAACGGGAAAAAGGGTTGTTGCAGACCATGGGCTGTTTTAGAAATTTCCCATTTTTGAACTTCCGTCACGAAGATTTTACGATTTTTCCAACTGCGGATGGAAATTTGATGCATTTTTGATGGCTGGAAATGTTCAGAATATTTTAAGACAATTATTTAAGGGCGAATAAGTTTGGAGATAAAATTTTCATAATTTCCAGTGGAATTTTAGGGTGGATAGAGTATGGAAAACGTTAGGAAGTCTTTGAAAAATGTACCAGAGAAATTTGGTAAATTTGGAGAATAAATTAAATGAAAATCAAAAGAGACCACCACCATTGTGAAAAATGGAATTACGCTCGATAAATTACTTTTCGAATCGAATTACTTTTTAAATCGAAGAAAGATTATCTTCTAACTTGTCCTATCGCGAAGCTTCGTTATACCGAAAAGCAGTCAAATTCGTCTTACTTGATCAGCAAAATTCCCTTAAGGAGTGATCAATTTCGCTGGCGATTGATTAAAACCGATTCGTGAACGAACGAAACGATAGTTTGAAATCTCTTTTACCTCCTTATCTAACAAAAGACTTGCACGAGTCCACGGTGCACAATTCCAACCATTAAAATATTAATCGCCACTAATTACCAAATATATTTGATTAAATTTTCAATTGGGAATCGTTGTGCGATTCGATCGTCCGGAATGGAACGTACGTTATCGTTTGTACAAGCATGACAAGAAATGGGCCAAATTTTGCTTGGCTCTAATGACGAGATTGTATCTACTAATGTTGCATCGTTCTACAGCGAAACGCACGCGGTCAACAGCTTCCATGCCCCCGATTATCCTGACCACCTGTCACAGTGATTATTCGTAGGCACATAATCCGATTGTCGTTTGTCGGCGATAACAACGTCGTGGAGAACGTATGCGTGCACGAAATACGATTACCCGCCATGAACAGCTTTAATTTTGATGTGATTACGTGAACGTTAGGACAACTTAATGCTGGTATTATGTTGTTTGAACACGGAGGCTAGAAAATGTTTAACAAGGGCAAATAAATGGCAGAAGAAAAGGGACAAAGGCATTTTTGATATCTAAATATTCATCTAGTGGTAGAAAGGGTAATTAGTTAATTTTATCTAAGAAGAGGCTAAGGTTATGAAAAAGATTGTATTCCGTCGTACAACGAGGTCGTGTCGATGTAGTAACAGATCTTAAAACATTAAGATTAGGATCATTTTCGAGAGTAGCGGAAAATTAAAAAAAAAAAACATGGACAAGAGCATTAGCTTGCCGACTTTGTTTCAAATACGAGACTCGTAGATCTTAATATTTCAGATCGATCCTAATCTCGTTTCTTGAGTTTCCAGAGAAGGTATTTTCTACGTAATTACCCGTTAAAGCGATGAATTATTTGTGAAATAATTTTATTACAGTATAAAAGTAAATAAACCACTATTTATAACATATATATATATATATGTAATCCATAACTTGAGTGTTAATCTTTAAAGACTTGTTTAAATACAAAGACTTCGAGACGCGTTTCTGTATTTACTTACTACATATTAAAACACATGCCAGTCAAGTGTCATAAACCTTGACTCACAATCAGTGTATCACTACCATTTTCCTCTTTTTGTGTCATCCTACGGATCCCACATGCCGCAATAGAAAAATGTACCAAAAATCACTACGAATTTTACGATCGATTGTACGTTCAATTATACACCTGCAACTTTCATAACTGCAAAAAGCTTTCATTCGTAACAATCAATGAAACATCCTCTGCTCATAAATTCATCGTGTCATTCGTTACTTTGTGGCTCAGAGAGCGACACAAATTTCCTATTCCGGGAAAAAAATTCACAAATACGTATACTAAAAATATACAGGCGTGTCAACTTTTCCACGCGAGACAGATACCATTCTGAAAAATCTCTATATATATATACATATATCTATATGTATAAATGATAGAAAAATATATAGCGCGATCGCTAGTCCTTGACGGATGATAAAATCGCGGACTCAATGGCATCGTGATCGATACGCATCTGTCCCTTGGCCCTTGACCGACCAATCGCCGAAAGACACACGTCGCCAGGCGTATTAAGTGTGAAGAAATCACCTTGAAAATCACATCGGGGCCGACTCGGCTTCGTACTCGCATTATCATTGGATTTCCGCCGCGACAATCGTATCGATAGACGGCCACGAGTCTCGGCTGCTCGATGTTCGAGCCTCCGAAAGGCGGGTGACGAGCAAAGGGGTGGTGGAAGGCGAGACAAAGAACGAAACTGAACGACGAGAAAGATGCAATCGTAACGAACCACGTATAAAGAAGCCCCGATACCCGGACACTGCGACACTTTTTCATTGTGCACCGGCAAACGATCACCGAAAATCGGAACAGACATGGTCCCGCGCAACGTTTCCGTCGTTTTTTCGTCTCTCGTGTTCCTCGTCACCGTTGTCCACTGTATCTCCAAGGAATACAATAATTGTGAGTAGTTTATGTTTGTCGCTACCGCGAAACTTTTCTTTTCCGGCAACTACGTTAGGTTTATTTATGGTATAGCTATGTATGGTTGATTCTGACAGAGGTATGTTACGATGGGGCGAGATTGTTATCAATTTATTAGTTCGAATTTCAATGTTGAAAATTGATATCTAATCGTTACGACTAATTGGACGTTAAACGAGTTGTGTCCGTTAATTATCGACTGAATATTCCGATGATATTTGGAAGATATAAATATTGAGCAAAAATGTATAAAGTAGGTAAATAGAAAAAGTAGTTGGCAAAGTTTCTAAACACGGTATTAAATAAGAAACAGAAGCGAATAGGAAGCAAAAGAAAACGCTTGTGAATAACGCGACAGAACGCGGGAAGTTAATAAACCGAATTCAACGTCCGCCGTTACTATATCGACTTTTTAAGTATTTGAAAACCGCTATTTGAAAACCATTGACCGAGAAACATAGGGACCGTAACCCATAAAAGTAAATACATTGGAAAAAAGAAGAGCACATATGTAAAAGTTCAAATCGGACAAGATACAGTCCATTTAAATCTGTTTGCTCGATTTCATGCGCTGTTTACATTTTTATCGGGCATGTTTCACGAACACCGAATATGCAATACAATATTCGAATCAAGTTCTATGCAAACATGAAATTGCGATTGATTTCATCAAGTTGCACACATCGAAAATAACCGAGGCTCCGAAAATCCGTATCGATCCGAGCGATATTTATTAAACGTAACAATTTTCCGCGACATTAGCCCCCGATCGGTAACCTATGCGTGAACGAAGAGGCAGGGCAGCGTAAATTGCAGTTACACGAAATGACAAGCTTAACATTGGATTTTCAGAGTCATTCATTACCAAATGGATGCAACGATGCACTCGTGCCGTTGCGACCCGGTCACGCGCCACTGCTCCTTAAAACGAATCGAATTCTAATTTAAATCCATTCGCCTTGAAATATTGCCGCCATGGAACTCTTTGAAAGACGGACATTTCTATAATCTCGGACGTTCATAACCAGAACCGCGCCAACCATTGAAACACACGCTGTTCCGAATAATTTCAATTCTACGATAAACTCCGATAAACTATTCTCTCCGATACACGTAAATTAAAACGACTGTATTTACTTTGTAATTTTCAATACATAACAGTCCAAAAGGAATCTATAATTTTATTTATAATCTGCAATTTCGATTATCCATGGCAATCGATAAATTTACGATATTTATATTTCTCGCGATGTTTTCTTATTTTCCATGAAAGATAGCACGAAGAAACGGGCATAGAACGAGGATATTTTGTCTGCTAATGTCGCTTATTCGCGACTTACGTATGCGGAAGGCACGCACACACGGGCTGAATAGAAAAATGGGTGTATAACCCGGTCGAAGGCCGACTGACTTAGACGGTGTACGACCTCGACCAGTTCGCTAGTTGGACAAATTTTGAACAGGCCAATGTATCCTCAACGATCGTTCGCGAGGTTCTTAACCTGACGAAGGTTGTGCGCCCGGGGCAACGCCGTTCGAAATTCAATTATTATCACGCGGGCCTACAATCTTCGAATTTCTCGCCACGCAGTGGCAAAGTCTGGTTTATGCATTCGATGCATAACATTCGATGTATAACCAGGGACAAATTAATGGCCCGTACGCACAGAAAGGTAATCACGTTAATGGGCACGCGTGTAATTGCCGATAAATTAGAGAAACGAAAATTCATCGATTTTTGATTCGAACAGTGGTATTGTCGTGACGTAATGACGAATAGCTGAGGGAGATGAACAGTACGTCAAGTGGCGTGCGTCATCTTGAAATCTTTCCTGAAATCAATCTCAAACGATCGGAGACGGTAATTAGGAGGCGCGTATGATTAATGGGCTCCGTGACGCCTTGACCGCGAGATATCGAGTTGAAAATTGCTCTCTGATTCGTTGCCAACGTTCGTCATCTTATCACCATGGGGAAACAGATTTCGTTAGTACGTGCTTTCGCTACGTGAGGCAACGATAGAGAATTTGAAAATGCACGCGGTATTTTTTGGGGAGAGATTTGGGAATTACTATTTTGACGACGAGTAATGGTATGTATCGAGTTGGTGTCTGTGAGATGTACTTTCTTTGAAGTTTAGATTTGATAGATGAGAGTATGGATGACGTTGAAAAAAGTTTGTAAAGAAGACGTAAAAACCTCATTATCGGATACCACGAATAATTAGAATTCGTATCACATGTTATATGAACTCAAAGGCATTTCGTACATTCCAATCTAATACAAATTGGAGATTAGAAAATGTAATTACACATTTATATAAATATTTAGGTATTTAAATAATGATGGTAAAATAGTAAAAGTAAATAATAATAATAAATTACACAGACATAGAAAGAGATTCGTAAAGTATAATCGCCTGTGTTCGATTATGAATTTCGATTACGCATTATAGTATTATTAAGAATAATAGCGCGGAATTTGGTTACATATCGAAGCGAGAATGATCCATTACGAAGTAGAATCGTAGCAACTTTCGCGATTCGAAATTCCGAGGATTCTCTCGATTTGCGGATTGGAAATAATATTAGCGAAATATTTCCATTGCGACTACGTAAATCATTTTCATAACCGTCCGGTTATAATGTCGACATGTATCGAGTGGCAAGATAAATTAATTATCAAGATAAATTGCCATCGATTTAGACAGCCTCAATTAATCCTTTACATTGCCATATCTCATGCGACTCGACATTCGCGTTTTCTAGATACTATTGAATTTCGTGATCAGCGGAACAACGCGAGCCACAGGATCCCATGAAAATTTCGTATAACGCTGATAAAAATATTCCGATCGATTAAAATATCGGTCGTCACGCGACAAGTTCTAATCAGCCTGTTGAACGACGATCTCTTTCATCTTTTTTACGCTCCTTTTTTTATGTAGCCAATTTTAACCCGCCCGAGTTCACCATCGTGATACACGTCATTTACGTCACGAGCACGTTTTTCCATATTTATGGGACAAATAAAATACGTTATATGGACAGGACGCGGATAAAGTGGTAAACGGAATAACCATCGAGCGTAGTCTGAAAAAGTACCAAAGAAACATCAAATATATTTTTGAAAGCTATTCTATCCGTTGGATACGTAATAAATAATCGTTAAAACCATAAAATTATTCGTTTCGTTTATTTGCTTTAAAATAACTTTTCAACGTTAATATGCATATGTATTGGATTTATCGATAATCGTAAGCGTACTATATCACGTAGTATTGTTCTAAGTATTACGATATTCTCCTAATCAACCCTATTCATCGAAACCGCGCCGCATTTACCGGAAGAATGGCTGTCAAACTCACTCGAGCCATTCAAAACGCATTGGCAACAATTTAAATCGGCATGAAACCACTTGAAAGGGAAACCGGAAAAAAGAAGCGAGTCAAAGCAAACCGAAAGGGTTCCCTTTCTTCCCACGAGCCTCCGCGCCGCGATCCGGGTTTTTCCAGCCGTTAAAATAACCCCATCCGCTGCCACCTGCAGCCGCCAGAATCCACACAAAAGACTCGAGAAAGAATCTCCAACCTGTCCATTCGACCATCGTCGGATAGAAAGGGCAGAAGAGGAAGAGAAAAAAAGAGGCCTAGCCCAAACTGTGAACGAAATCAGCGACAGGGAAGAGGAGGAGGTGGATAAACGNGGTGGATAAACGAGCCGAAGGGGAAGTCGCCAATGGCGGGGGGCGAAGGCATCAGCATATTATCATGACCATGTTCATAGCCTGCTTTTGACATATCTATTACGCGTTTCCGAATAGAGGTGACTTCGAATTCTATGCCTGTTCTCTGCCCACCACCACCC